GCTGGGGTAAATTATATTAATTACAGTAAACATAAGTCAATTTGAGTTTTAGGCTCTTGGAACATACGAACAATAATAAAACCAAAAGCAATATTTCTTTGTTTTTTATTCCCATACCAATATTCACATCTTAAATTTGGCCATGTATATTTATTCTTCTCAAAAGTCATTCCTATCACCACTCAAATGCTATCAAATCCTAATAACCCTAATTAAATGGGGCACAATATGCCCGAAAATTCATAATACTCCTAGCAAAATGGACATTATGCCCAAAAAAAAAAAAAACAGAAATATGAAGACGAACTCTTAAAGCAAACCTCCATTAATATTAATGGTAATTCTGCCTTATCGGTCTTTTTTTCTTGATGGGTTCGAACACCGGCAACCTTCTTGAATAGATTGCGAAGCAAAGGCCTCCATTGTCGACATGGCGAAAAATCCACAAGGTCGCAAAATCCTGGTTTTCAACCAGTCCGAGATCATTACGGAAAGTTTTCCAGCCTCCAGTGAGGACATGAACCTTGGTGGCCCAAATCTTGAACACCATTGGGTATTCGTTGCCAGCCATGTCATAAGTTGTCACATCGATGCCTTCATTAAGGTTTTCACCGTTTCCCAACAATGGCATGATGTTATTTTCGACATCTTCTTTGTTCATGGAGAGCCTGCATTGGTTATCTTTCACATCACTGCTTGTTAGCTGTTTCTCAAAAGGCTTACTGCAATCTTGGATTAAGTTTTGTAGGCTTGGGATTGGTGGCAAATCAGGAGGGGTATAATTTCCATAGAACAAACCTCCTCTTTCTTGTTGTTGAAATTGCAGTTCTCTAGGTAAGCTTCGTCCTCGTGCAGCACCATTAGTGGCTTCTCGGGCTTGCGGGGCTTCAGGTTCCTGGATTCGTAGTGCTTTTCGCTTACTTCCGCTGGGTGACTTTAACTTAATTCCAGAAAGAATTTTGCTCTTCATGTGCTCCAAATTTCTCGCTGTTTCGGGATTCAAGATTGTATGCTTTAAATGTAGAAGAAGATAAGCACCCTCCTCGGTGCTGCTTGTCATCTTTCCGTCTCCATAACCGGGGTCTTCACGGTCTTCTCGACAAGCCATGTCTGCACTATAGCTCTCTCCAAATATCGTACTTTTTCTTAGGATTCTCGAGAGAAAAGAAAAAAAAAAAAGTTTTCTAGTCAGATTTGCTGAAGGCTTCCTCCAGTTGTTAATGTTGGGGACAAGAGAAGGGGGGAAATATATAGAGGGTTGCGGAGCAAACAAACGATTAGGGTATTTGGTGTGTCTTCTTGATTGGCAAGTAATAATTGTGTGTAAGAATCCGAATCCATTTTGGCAAAGGTGTTAGAGTCTTACAATAATTCTGTTACAGTTGATGTGAGTGTCATGATGTAGGGTACAAGGGGGACTGTTTTGATGGGGATTCTTCAATAAGTATTTAAGTTTAAGGATGACTACACATTTTTAATCTCGGCCGTTGGATTATATCCATTAGATGTGTTAGTAAATTTAATATGCAACATTCATGCAATCTAACGGTCGAAATCAGAAATATGTAACTAATCCTTAACATAAAATATTAGAAAAATTAGTGTACATCGTTAACAAAAACTTATATTATTAACATTTATCAATCTGTTTTGATAGGGGATTCTCCAATAAGTATTTAAGTTAAAGATGTCTATACATATTTCTAATCTCAGCCGTTGAATTATATCCATTAGATGTGTTGGTAGATTTAATATGCAACATACATGCAATCCAACGACTGAAATTAGAAATATGTAACCAATCATTAACATAAAATATTAGAAAAATTAGTATACATAGTTAAAAACTTATATTATTAACATTTTATGAAGATAAAGTTTCACTTTCATATTAGGTCTATGTCATATGAAACTTAATTGATTTTAAATCACAAGCTAATAATTATATGACTTTTAAAAAATGTTAAATCTCATTTGTCTTCGTTAGCATATGTGTACATAAGCGGAGATGTGTTTGTGGTTCCAAATAATTTACCCTTTGGTGTCTGCCACGCAATGTCTAGAATATTTTAGACACCTCCACTGGCCACTGGATTTCTTGATGGAAATCTTTTTTCGTTTTTGCTTGATAATGGAGCCCAAATTCCTTATTAACAACCAACTGTTAACAACCTATATACTTTGACTGACGGAGACTATTACTGACTTGTAAATTTAACCATCTTTCTGGGGTGAAATATATTAATTACAGTAAACGTAAGTCAATTTGAGTTTTAGGCTCTTGGAACGTACGAACAATAATGAAAACCAAAAGCAATATATCTCTTTTAAATATATATAATTTATTCCCATACCAATATTCACATCTTAAATTTGGCCATATATATATATTTATTTATTCTTCTCAAAAGTCATTCCTATCACCACTCAAATGCTATCAAATCCTAATAACCCTAATGCCTGAAAATTCATAATACTCCTAGCAAAATGGACATTATGCCCAAAAAAAAAAAGAAAAAAAAATCAGAAATATGAAGACAAACTCCTAAAGCAAACCTCCATTAATATTAATGGTAATTCTTCCTTATCGGTCTTTTTTTCTTGATGGGTTCGAACACCGGCAACCTTCTTGAATAGAGTGCGAAGCAGAGGCCTCCATTGTCGACATGGCGAAAAACCCACAAGGTTGCAAAATCCTGGTTCTCAACCAGTCCAAGATCATTACAGAAAGTTTTCCAGCCTCCAGTGAGGACATGAACCTTGGTGGCCCAAATCTTGAACACCATTGGGTACTCGTTGCCAGCCATGTCATAAGTTGTCACATCGATGCCTTCATTAAGGTTGTCACCGTTTCTCAACAATGGCATGATGTTATTTTCGACATCTTCTTTGTTCATGGAGAGCCTGCATTGGTCTTCTTTCACATCACTGCGTGTGAGCTGTTTCTCAAAAGGCTTACCGCAATCTTGGATTAAGTTTTGTAGGCTTGGGATTGGTGGCAAATCAGGAGGGGTATAATTTCCATAGAACAAACCTCCTCTTTCTTGTTGTTGAAATTGCAGTTCTCTAGGTAAGCTTCGTCCTCGTGCAGCACCATTAGTGGATTCTCGGGCTCGCGGGGCTTCAGGTTCTTGGATTCGTAGTGCTTTTCGCTTACTTCTGCTGGGTGAGTTTAACTCAATTCCAGAAAGAATTTTGCTCTTCATGCGCTCCAAATCTCTGGCTGTTTCGGGATTCAAGATTGTATTCTTTAAAAATAGAAGAAGATAAGCACCCTCAGTCCCGTTCGTCATCTCTCCGTCTCCACAACCGGGCTCTTCATGGTCTTCTTGACTAGTCATGACTGGCCTTTTGCTCTCTCCCTCATTGGTGAACATCATACTTTTTTCTCAAGATTCTCGAGAGAAAAGAAAAGAAAATAAAAAAAAAGCTTTATAGGCAGATTTGCTGAAGGCTCCCGCTAGTTGTTAAAGCTGGGGACAAGAGAAGGGGAAAAAGAAATAAAATAGGGTTGCGAAGGAACCAAACGATTAGGGTATTTGAGGTGTTTACTTGGTCTTCAAGTAATAAATGTGATCGTGACCAATGAGAAGGTGTTAAGAGTCTTACGATAGTTTTGGCAGTTTTTGATAATGACCAATGAGAAGGGGGTAGAGTCTTACAAAAGTTCTGTTACAGTTGATATGAGAGCGAGGATGTGGGGTACAGGGGGGACTGTTTTGATCAAATATCCTGTTTTGATATTGTATAGGATTCTAGTCCTTTTCAATCTCCAATGGTGGGCTGCTTGAAAATGCCCTAGGCCTCATTTCGTTGGTGGGTCCCTTAGTTATTACAACAAACATTAGTTTACAATAACTTGATTAAAGCCCAGAAAGGATTACCAGGCCCAAAGAGAAACCCAGTAGGCATCATACAATTACAAAAGCCCAAATAACAAAGTAATTTGCTAGCTGGTGGGCGAAATACAACTGTTGAATGCTGATGTGGGCTCTACATACATCAACGGTCAAAAATTACTTATACATGTTTGTCAGCGACTGACCGTAACATTACTTACCCAACATTTGATCAGAGGGACAACATTGTTTTTTTTAGTCAATGAGGGACAACAGTCTTCGATGGTTATTTTTTGGGTTGTTATGTGCATAGATGGTTTACATAATTTGAGGATAGAGGTGAAGCGTCGATCCCTTCCACCGTTGTAAGAAAAAACAGAAAACGAAAAGACCATTGGGAATATTAGGAATTGCATGTTATTACAATTCACCATTTGGCAGAGATTATCCTACCATATTGGATAACGGCTTACGCTTCTAGTTCGTGCCAGCGAAAAGTATACTCAGAATTTTGGTCCTTCATCTTCTTCTTCCTTATCCAAATAGTTGTAGGGTTGAAAATTAAAACGAATAGCTGTTACTATTCCTTACAAGTTTCAAAAGATTTCAACAAAACATTGGATGGATAATCTCGAAATTCACTCTTCCCTGTCAAGCGGATTCCCACAGAAACCATTCAGTTAAAGGAAAATCTTCATGTCTTCTTCCATAACAAATATTCTACCAGTTTACCATTTTTATCTTATTATTTTTTTTTTTGGCCATTATAGTTTACTTCACAAATTATTTATTTATTTATTAAATTGAATTAATATAATAAATTAATCATAATAACTTGTAGCATCAAGTGCTGGGGAGTTTAAGTCAACTGGACAAAATGCATGACGAGTCCATGACCTACTTGGGTTTTCGGTATGGAGGAAACAGCCAGCCATTAGAGTTGAATTCAAGATACAATGTAATAATAAAAAAATATTAAAGTTGAGTTATTTTATAAATAATACAGCTAGTCCATGCAGGTCCTTTTCTTACTTTTTCTACTTGTTTTGTATTATGTGTAGAAAAAAAGAAAAGAAAAAAGATAACAGATACAATAACAGATACAGAACACTGATTTTTTTTTCATTTGATACCAATATATATATATATATATATAGTATAAAATTGAGCTGTTTTTCAGTCCAATCTAATTGGGTTGGTTGGTTGACTCCAACTCTCTGTAACTTCCTGTGTGTATATATACTGGTACCCTTCCCTCCCTCTCCCTCATAGCGAACCATCATACCCTTCTGTAAGTCATTAGTTTTTAAGGTTATAATAGACCTATTGGAGAAAGAGAGAGACAGAGACAAGAGGCAGAAGCAAAGAGGGTGAGAAAAACAGATTTTAGGAGAATGGCAGGAGGATTTGGAGGTGATGGGGTGCTATCAGAAAGGGCTCATCAATATGAGTATAGGATTACTGGGTATTTCATCTTTGCTTGCATTGTTGCAGCCCTTGGAGGCTCTCTCTTTGGTTATGATCTGGGTGTTTCAGGTCAGTTCTGTTCACAGGTTTATGATTCTAAAATAAAATTTGAAACATTAAATTCTCTTTTGATCTGGGTGTTTGTAATTCATGGATATCAGCATATCCTGTGAAGCAGGTTTGTTAGACTGATGTTTTTCTTGATAAAGTTGAAACCTGTTTTATATTGAGGGACCAATATCATCATGATCATTACCATTGTTTTTACAAAACTAATTTGAGAGGTTGGAGGAATATGACGGGTGAAATTTGAAACTTTGAATTTTTTCAACTAGTTTTTCATAGAAAAAAAAAATACAGGAAATGATGATAGAATGCTTTGTCTGTGTTCACAAAAACATATTATGATGATTTAAGGAATTCTAAATCCTAATTCTTCATTTCTTCTATGTAATTTATGGGGCAGATTTTTTATTCCTGTACTGTTCATATTCCAAATGGTTGCAAAGTCTTTCAATACAATACCTTAGGTGCAACATACCATCACTGATGTGCTGCCTCACCTAACAAAAATGAACATACCTTTTCTGTGATTTCCTTATCCACGAAAATGGACAGAATCCTTCATAGATAAAAAAGTTTCTATGATTTTAGATAAGATATTGAATGCACACCTGCCATCTAAAACAAGCATATTCCATAATGCTTAAGATTTTTGTTTTTCGTATGAAAAAGAATGTTACCCTTCAAGGTTTAAGGGAAGGAAAATGGAATTATATACTACTGTGGGGAAGAGGCCTCTTTTGGCATATAATTCCAAAATCAAGATAAAGAATGTTACTTTTGATGCTAAATTTCAGGTGGGGTGACTTCCATGGATGATTTCTTGAAGGAATTCTTCCCGAAAATTTACAGAAGGAAGCAACTGCACCTCAATGAGACAGATTACTGTAAATATGATAACCAAATTCTGACACTCTTTACATCGTCCCTGTACTTTGCGGGACTCATTTCTACATTTGGAGCTTCCCATGTTACCAGAAACAAGGGCAGGAAAGCCAGCATTCTTGTTGGAGCAGTCAGCTTCTTTATAGGAGCAGTCCTGAATGCTGCTGCAAAAAACATTGCAATGCTGATCATCGGTCGCATATTTCTTGGTATTGGCATTGGATTTGGAAACCAAGTAAGCCTAATGCTCTCCACCAAAGAAAATTAACAGCATCTTTCTGATTTACTAACAACTTTCTTGTTCTATAATCCAGGCAGTTCCCTTGTATCTCTCGGAAATGGCTCCTGCGAAAATTCGAGGAGCAGTTAACCAACTTTTTCAGCTAACAACCTGCTTAGGCATCCTGATAGCTAACTTGATAAACTATGGAACCGATAAAATTCATCCATGGGGTTGGAGATTGTCTCTTGGTTTAGCTACAGTCCCAGCAACTCTTATGTTTGTTGGGGGCCTTTTTCTTCCTGAGACCCCAAATAGTCTTGTAGAGCAAGGCAGATTAGAAGAAGCAAGAAAAGTACTGGAGAGAGTGAGAGGCACCACAAAAGTTGATGCTGAGTATGCTGACCTGGTTGATGCCAGCAATGCAGCTCGAGCCATCAAACACCCGTTCAGGAATCTACTTGCACGAAAAAATCGTCCCCAGTTGGTGATAGGAGCCTTGGGAATTCCTGCATTCCAACAGCTCACCGGCATGAACTCTATCCTCTTCTATGCACCCGTCATATTTCAGAGCTTGGGATTTGGCTCAGGGGCAGCTCTATATTCATCTGTCATTACTAGTGGAGCGCTTGTTCTCGCTGCATTCATTTCAATGGCTTTAGTTGATAAGTTTGGCAGAAGAGCTTTCTTCTTAGAAGCTGGAACTGAGATGATATGCTGCTTGGTAAATGCACATTTAAGCAGACTAAGAAACTCTCACTTTATTTACCAGAATGCCTACAATATTCTATTGCATATACTCACTATAATTTTGTTTTTTCAATCTATGCAGGTTGCTGTGGCCATAACTCTAGCCCTGAAGTTTGGACAAGGAGAAGTCCTCCCAAAAGGAATTGGGATCTTCCTTGTTATTGTCATTTGCATATTTGTTTTGGCTTATGGAAGGTCTTGGGGTCCTTTGGGGTGGTTAGTTCCAAGTGAGCTATTTCCCTTGGAAACAAGATCAGCTGGACAGAGTGTGGTGGTCTGTGTCAATCTCCTCTTCACAGCTCTGATAGCACAGTGCTTCCTCGCGTCGCTATGCCATCTTCAATATGGGATTTTTCTGCTGTTTGCAGGCTTGATAATGATTATGAGCAGCTTTATCTTCTTCCTCCTGCCAGAAACAAAGCAGGTGCCCATAGAAGAAATATATCTTCTCTTTCAGAAACACTGGTTTTGGAAAAGAATAGTAGGAGATGGGGAGCAAGTTGGACCCAATGGGAAGCCAGGAGCACAAGTTTAGAATCTCTGGCTAGCACAAGAAGAAAACATTGTTCAGATTTCTTATTCATAGTTTGTTTTCTGAATGCAGTTCTATATATAATTAAGAATTAATTTCAACAATTTCAAAAGTTCAAAGAATTAATATCATTTAGGTCCTGGATAAGTCGCCAAATTTAGAACCAAAATGGCCTGGAAATGTCATATCTGCATGGCAGACAACCTCCATTTTCATAATAACTACACATCTCTCTGGTCCTGGATATATGTTTATCCTGTTTGTTCTTGTCATGGCAATAACATTCCAAACAAGCATCTGAGTTCCATTTAAAATTAGACGACAGCATAAAAATTTCTGACTAGAAGTTAATTAAACATCATAATTGCCGCCAGCATCACCAGATACGTTTTGGTTTGTCACTAACTACCGATGTGACATTTATCCAAAGAACACAGGATAACCTTGTTATAAATTATTGCATTTTCATCTGACTTTTTGTAGCACTAAATATTTTAGAAATCCAATTATTAAATATCGTGAAAGAAATTTTTTCAACTTTTTCGATCGGTATGGAACCAACTTTCCGTTAAAAATATACAGTGGTCAGATGTTCATCGTCCTTATCTAAATGGATATGGACTTTATCTAAATGGATATGTTCAAATTTCCTCTTTCTCCCTTCTTTTCTGACCATATTTTTTTTAAAGTTAATATTTCTTTCCTAATCGGTGTCAGTGACCCGACATATATTTATTAGTATGAAAACTACATTAAAGACAACCCACAATTAAATAGTTATGGTCAATAATAGTATAATAATGTACACAAAATTAGTTCTATTGGCCCGGAAAGCCAAAGCATTGTCAGAATTGACAAAAATTGGGATGTCAAATGGAAGCCAAATTTGTACCACCAAAAACTGTGCATGGCATTCATAATCACATCTCAGAAAGTTCATGCTAATAGCTTAGCAAGTTCATCAACTCTCAAACTTCCCTGTGGTACAACATTATCTAGACTTTCCCCAAAATCCCTTATTCTTTTAACTTTAGTATCCTTCTTCTGAATCTTCTCACTTCCTCTCTTCACAGGAACTGTTATCTCTTTCACTTCTGAAACACTGGCTTCTTGCTTCATAATCTTTATTCTCTTCTGAACTGCTACTTTCTTAGGTCGATGATGCTTGAACACAGGGCCAGGGGGGGCAGACTGCGCCAAGGCAACTGCCCTTCGAAAAATAATGTCGGCATCCAAGGCAGAATCATCTAAAATAAGTGCACTCCCACTCCCAACAGCTTCGTTCAAAAGTAACAGCACGTTCTCCATACAAGGTCCACTCGACCTTGCTGGCTCACTGAGATTTTCTGAGCCCACTGAAGCACATTGTGGGTTCTCATTACTTCTCGGACCCCCCATGACTATAGTTGCTGATGCTTCAGCGCAGCCTGTATTATCCAATATGCGCTCAATTCCAGATGGATCCAATATAGCTTTTGATTCATCATCTTCAACATCTGAAATGGTTTCAGTTACATGGGTCCCTCCAACAGCTGAAACCCTATCAACTGTGGCACATGGCTCAACATATTGTGAAGGAGATAGATCCCCACTTCCCTCTGCACCCACAACTTCAGAACCAATAGAGGGTGTGCTTGTATTGAGTATTTCAAGACTTGCATCCTTGACTGAAACTGTAGAAGCGCATGATGTTGATTCTTCCTGGCCTTCCAAGGGAGGTGCAATAGAAGTTGAATCATCAACGTCAGATCCTTTGACTTCCTTGAGATCATTCTCTGGATTTGGAAGAGAAGACTTCCATTCCCGACCTCTCCACATAAGAATGTGCTCAAGTTCAAATGAAATTAGCACACAAGGGACAAGATCCTGCATTCACATAGTTAAGAGAATTTCTTAGCATGCTTTGCTATGAAAATTATCATGACAAGAGAAATGTTCTCTTAAAGAATAGCAGACCTTTAATTTAGCACCTATTTTCCGGTAGTCACTCCCATTCATCCCTGTACAATTTATTCGCACTAATTCACACTCTTCAAAGGCCTCTCTGACATTTTTTGCCAACTCAGAGTATACTCCATTTTTTCCTGTTGAAAACAAACTCACCATTATGAGTTTACTGGAGGGAAAAACTAAAACATTCTTATTGCCATTCTAAAGATTACATTAGGCATAAGCATATAGTACCTAGCTTGCATATTGGTATCAGATTCCGTCCCTTCTTGCGCATTTCAGTTGCTTCTTCTAGTGTTAGACCCTCAGGAGCCCGTTGAACCAGTCTAGGATATACAGGAGTGATAGGTCTCCAAAGCATGAGAGGAAACTGCGGACGAGTTTTGTAGTTGTAGTTTCTGCCTCGGAAAAGGTATATCACCCCACCTTTTCTGTAAATGATTTTCCCTCCAGTTTTTTCCTATCAAACAATATAATCCAATAATAATTAACTCAAATGACAAACAAACCAAATCTCAAACAACCTGACATTCATTGGTAATCTTATATTTGTAAAATAGAGAGTCATAGTTTGGCTGTTACTCAACCTACTTTGTTATCATGCCATATATACTTCAAAAATCAATGCTAAGATGAATGCATGAAATCACAAGTGACAAGCATATTCAGCAAGAAGAACCAACCTCTATTTGCTCACACACGTTGTCCATGTCGACTGTACACACTCCTTTGCATTTTATCTTGCACACTCTCCGGCGCTTCCAGTGAGCATGTATGTTATCCAACATGTTGTGGGTGAAACCATCTCTACCTAAAAAACCAAATGAATAGAATCATAAAATAAAAATTCAGAAGCTTAGTTTGCAAAGTTGAAAACTTGAGGCTACAAATCTCTGGCATTTTGAAGTTCTAAATCTAAAACTCACATCATCTACCACCACAATTGAAATTAAAACTGCCTCCAATTTCACAATCTCACCAAGAATGAATCAAAATTCTAAATGAAAGAAAACAAATAAAGGCTATAAAGTCAAATGAACAAGATTATATACCCATATTCAACTGCCTCCTGGTTTTGATACACCCTTTAACCAACTCTTTAACCTCCTCAGGCGTCAGTGGGTCACCCAATATCTCATCCCTAGACTTCACATACTTTGGACCCGACCCGGGTAAGTACGGACCAGGGGACTGCACCGGCTTAACCCCCTTCTTATGCGGTGGTGGCAGCTGGAACGAGTCGAATTCCTTCAATTTTTTCTTGCTCGGCGGCAATGGGGCCCGACCCGTCCACGGCCGGGCCATCGTCGTGGGCCCGAATGGCGCATACGCCGGTTCTCGGAGCTTAAGGGGCTTCACCCTAGGAGTCTCAGTGTAGCTGTACTTGAATTCAAATGGGGCTCCGTCGATGACGTACGAAAGGCCATCATCGCCGACAGAAATGTTGGCTTTTCTGTCAACTGTTGGACCTTTATCTTTTGGGATTTTCGAGAGCTTTGTGGGTCTAATAATTCGGCGAAATGCGGGGTGCGATTCGTTAGGGTTAGGGTTTTTAGAGTATTTGGACTTTTTGCCCGGGATGGAAGGGCTCGAGGGAAACGAAGGTGTGCCTATGGATTTGAATGTTTCACTCGTGGTGGTGGTGTCAGTGGCAGAGTCATAAATAGTGGCAATTCTGGTGGCGGAGTCGAAGCGGCGCTGGCGACGGATATCGTCCTCGATTTCTTGCTGGGCCCTCCGCCGCTGGTTAAATTTCTCGGCGTTGGCGTTGTTCCACCGCGCGAACCGGACCTCTGTGGGCGGGCGGTTCGGGGTGGGGTTGTGGTTCGGGTTCAGGTTCAATAGTGGCGCGAAAATTGGGCAGGAAGTGGGCAAATTTAGCGCCATTTACTGGGAAAGTACGATTTGGGATCCTCAAATTGAAAGCCAAAGCTTACAACTTTAAGAAGAAAGGAGGCATTTTGCTGGGTTTAGATGCAAACCAGTTAAACGACGTCGCAGAGGCAGAGCAGTTGATAGTAGGGGTTTTCAAGTTTTGAGTTTCGCATATGGAGGCGAAGAGAGAGAGAGAGGTTTAAGGTTAGCTTGGCGCTAACTGCCAATGGCCAAGTGTCAAGTCCCTTCGAAGCGACGTCGTTAGCTAAACAAAAAGAACGACATGCCGTATTTACATTCAGAAGTTAGATCCCCACCTCCCGGACATTGTAGACGACATGACACATGTCGTAGGTCAATGTCTGCCTGCACTATGTGTTCTGCTCTTTGCCATGTTTTTACTACTTATGTATGTAAAACGCATGAATGACGAATGGATGGCTTCACCGTAATACTATGAAACAGAAAGGTCATTTTAGCAAGTACCTGCTGCTTCCGCTTCCAAAGTCGGAGTTTTCTAGGATTATAATAAGTTGGCATTGGCAAAGTAGTAGTAGCAGTTTCAGCTGCAGAACCCATGAACCGACACTTGACAAAAGCCTGAAGAGATCTTTTCTGGGCTCGCACATTCAAGGTACTCCATAGAAAGATTGATTCTTTACCTCATTTGATCTTGTAAAGTCTTTAAATTTATGGGTTTTTTTTATAAAAAAAATTTGAATATATTGTGTAGGTTCCTTATAAAATCACAATCTTTCCTGTTTTAGATTTGGCGAAATTTCCATTTACAAATTACAATGTAATTTCTTTCAGATATTGAAGTGTTGTTAAAAACAAGTGGTTGACTGTGCAATTTCAGTGATATGGATATTGCTGGCAACATTGAAATCCGGAGACTGCTGTTGATAATCGGTGGGGTGGTTGTTATTGTAGTTGTATCTCAGTGTTTTGAGCTTCCCCCTGGTAAAAAGTTTTACTTTTCACCTGCTGATATGGGTTCAACTTCAACATCCACAGTTTTTGCCAATGTTAGCAGCTCAAACGACTCAAAGCCTAGCAAGTCTAATGTTGGTGTTGTAGTGGGCCTAGTGGCTAATGATACTGATGTTTCAGATTTGGCACCAGACGAGAATTTAACCCTTGATGAGAATTTTCCGGCGGGGACGGATAGAAATGCAGATGATATTTCTGTTCAGGAAAAGCCTATCGATTTTAGAAATGATTCCTTACAGAAGACTGATAAAACAGATGAAAGTTACAAGGCAGACAATGGACCTAAAACAAGCTCTGGTTTAACAGTGAGTGAAGGTAGAAATGAAGCTGGCATTGTGCCAGTTGTATGGCAAGGAATCTCTACAGAGAGTCCGGAAACCTTAAATGCAGATTCAAAGGGCAATGTGAAACAAACTACAGAAACCCAAATTGAGCATCAAAAGACTGAGCTATGGCAACCTGTTCCAGTCACCTTGAATGGCAATTCTACAATGACTAGTATTTCCATACTAAAGAAGTGGAATCCACGACCAACATCACTATCCCAGATGAATGCATTATTGCTTCGAATTCCTGTTTCTTCTCCTTCAATGGTACGAATTTAAATTTGAGGTTCCAATTTGGGCAACAAGGAATGAGTTAAAGTTTCTCGATACTCACTTGTCTTTTATTTGCACCAGAGTCCACGGCGGTATTCTACACGTGATCGTGAACTTCAATCTGCAAAACTAGAGATTGAGAATGCTCCCATTATAAGGAACAATCCAGGACTTAGTGCTTCTGTTTTCCGAAATCTTTCCAAATTTATAAGGTAAGCCCGTTTTGTTTAGATACCTAATCTGTCCACTATGTATATGCATGTATAAAATGCTTTATTTTCATTTTCTTTTAGTGGTTGCTTGTACTGCTTCAGTTATGTCTATGTTTTTACTTTCAATTTGGGACTTATCAATCTCTACAGATTCTCTTCGTGCTTTTAGAGATATATGAGCATCCTCTTTTTAGATATGGAATTGTGAATATTGCTCTGATTCCATGTTGCCTTGTTTGTCTCTTCAAGGAGTTGAAAGTTTGAAATGTAGACTTCTTTGTGGAAACCCATTACAAATTTTATCTTGATATTTTATATGTATTCTGTTGCAGGAGTTATGACTTGATGGATCACATGCTCAAAGTTTATATCTACAAGGAAGGTGAGAAGCCTGTATTCCATCAGCCTTTGATGAGAGGAATTTATGCCTCAGAAGGGTGGTTTATGAAACTAGTTGAGGGGAATAAAAAATTTGTTGTGAGGGACCCGAGAAAAGCTCATTTATTCTATTTACCCTTTGATTCGCATATGCTAAGGTTGACCCTTTCTGGACAAAATGTCAAAAATGGTAAGAAGGTCCTAGAGAAATACTTGAAGAGCTATGTTGGGTTAATTGCAAGAAAGTATTCTTTCTGGAACAGAACGGAAGGAGCAGATCATTTTCTTGTTGCTTGTCATGACTGGGTATGGTTCTCATGCATCAATCTAATTTTAATGTCATAGTTTCAGAGTCACCAATCTTTCTCTTCTCTTTCAAAGTTGATGAGTTCGTGTGGAGTATAAGTCCTATTCAGCACCATGAGCATTATTTGTTAGTCTAGAATAACTATTAATCGAGGAGCTGTGCTTCCTTAATTATGGATTACAACTAGATGGATGTTGGTGAATTGGTTTTCTCCTGTTAGTTTGGGTGATAATGATGCGGTTTTCTCCTATATGTTTCTGCCTTTTGCCTTTTCAAGGGGAAAATGGACACTCTCAGTCATATTGAACTGCATTATACCATCCTCTATCAAAGCCTTTATCTAATGCAGCCTTGTCATATGGAATTTCAGGCCCCAAAACTCACAAAACAGTGCATGAAGAATTGCATCAGATCTCTTTGCAATGCCAATGTTGGTAGAGACTTCAAAATTGGCAAGGACACCAGTCTACCTGTTACATATATACGTTCCGTTGAGAACCCTTTGCAGGATCTTGGAGGAAAACCGGCTTCAGAAAGATCTATTCTTGCCTTCTTTGCCGGGGGCATGCATGGATATCTCCGACCAATTCTACTACACTACTGGGAGAACAAAGAACCTGACATGAAAATCTTTGGCCCAATGCCACATGACATTGAAAGCAAAAGAATTTACAGGGAATACATGAAGAGCAGCAAGTATTGCATATGTGCCAGGGGTTACGAGGTTCACACACCTCGAGTGGTTGAGGCCATATTCTATGAGTGTGTGCCAGTCATCATATCAGATAACTACATGCCTCCTTTCTTTGAGGTATTTAATTGGGAGGCATTTGCAGTTTTTGTACAAGAGAAGGATATCCCTAATTTGAGAGACATTCTGCTTTCAATCCCAGAAGAGAAGTACCTTACGATGATGTCGAGTGTAAAGATGGTGCAACAACATTTCTTTTGGCACAAGAAACCCGTGAAGTATGATTTATTTCATATGATACTTCATTCAGTTTGGTACAATAGAGTTCTTCAGATAAAAACCAGATGAAAATGCGAGATTTTCAGGTTCTCTGGTACTGAAAAAGAAGACTGGGGGCTGTAAACTAAAGGTTGCTGTAAACAAGCAGTAAAGAAATAGAGAGCTAGAAACCAGACTGACTCTACCGATGATTTCTTGCCCCTGAAATTGAGAATGAAGCTGACAGAGAGATTTGTTGAAGTACAAGGAAATTCTAGCTTAGTGGGGATTGTGTATGTAAATGGCCAATTGTGTCAAAATATTCAACAGAATAAGAAAAAAGTAACTACAGATTGTGTTTTTGCTTCTTATGAGCTTGAAGTAGTGTTAGTTAAAGATCAAATAATAGAAATTGCTCTACCTGTGGATTATATGTAGATTGATCTGACAATAAGAGATTGTACAACCGGCTCATTCAAAAAAAATCATGTTTATGGTAGGCTTAAAGAAAAGTTTGTAGCACTAATATATAGAGACCACCCAAAAAGGATAAATGAAAATGACGCTGATGGGATTCGTACGAAATCATTTTGTCTACTTTTTAGTTATTTAGTATTTTTACTTCTAGTGGAGCACCAGACCAGAGGATGCCAAAATGTCAGTTAATGGTCAACACTGAACAGTGGCAGTCGTGTGAATTGAGTAACAACTAATAACCAAAGTGTACTTTCACTTTTGTAGTGGTCCTTTTAAGCCAACAAAAAAAAGAAGATAATGAATACAGTAAGTAAGCCAGATGGCATCATGTCAGAGTGAAGACAAAAACCAATGAATTTCAGCAAAAAAAAAAAAATGCTTGTACCGATCAATTGTAAAAATTTATATTTCATTTAAGGAATAGTATTTTAAATCAATAATTGGATGAGACTGAAGAGTGAGATGCTCTTCCTTCTTTAAACGGACTTTCAAAGGACCAAACTTGGAAAAGCCGTCTTCTTTACTTCCCAAAAACAAAGAAAAGCCGTGTTCTTTGCAAAAGGTTTCTTATTTCCTTTTTTGGGTTATACTCATACATACTGAACTGCTCAGTTTTGGGTTTTTCTGTTTGGCTTCAAAGGAAATTCAGCCTCAAGTTTTGTGCTTTCCTATACTCAGGTCAGTTATGGTCTTTCATTTTCTCGGGAACCAAACAAGAATAGCATTTCTTGTTGCTAATGCCTCCAGAATGTTAGTGTTTCTCAGTCACTCAGATAAGGCATAGATTCATAAACTAGACTAGAATGCCTGCCAATTGTAACTGAAATTGCTTGAGTTCTGTTTCACATTATTGATGATGAAGCTTAATTAATGTGTGTATAACTATTAAATTAGCCTTAATTAGTAATCTCTATTGAGCCAGCCAGCCAGCTTTCATTTTTGTTTTTTGGTAATTAAATTAAGGATTTTGCTATCATGTTTATATGATGTGAGTGAGGTGATTTTGAATTGTTGTTTCAGTTTTTTCACTATAACAAAGTTAGCCTTATTGGTGCTCTCTCCTCTTTAACTGTTCATGAACTTCACTGTTTGTTTTGGTCTCTACCCTGATTACATGTTAACAATTCCAAATATTAATGCCTCAAACTCTTGTATTTATTTTTCCAATGTGTGATTCGGGGTTGTCTATAGTGCCTATCTGATTGTAATTTGTATGTATAATTTTATCATTGTGGGAACTTT